CCCGGGGCCCCTCACACTCCCTGCCCTGCTCAACAACGTGAAAACGACGCAGGCAGTGCGGGGAAAGAGGCCCCTACCACTGATACGGGGTGTCAGGTGGTAGGAACTTTCTGTATAAGCATCAAAAACCTACAACTGTGCACATGGAAACCCCGGAATTCCATGTCTGGGCTTTTAACCTAAGAGGACAATCAGAAACTTGCACAAATATTTATGTGCAAAAGAGTTTCGTGACTTATAGCACTATCATAATTGTGAATGATTGGGATTAATGTAAATTCCAGTAAAAGAATAGTCACACAAGAGAATCCTACAAGTGTTAAAACTAATGTTTTAGAAGAATACTTAATATGAGATATTTGTGACACATTATTAAGGGAAAAAGAGTATGTAAAAAAGAAAACACACAAAAAAAGGCTAGATGGCCATAGACCAATATGTGATAGCAAGAGTTATCTTTACCTGGTAAGAGTCCAGTTAATTGTCATTTAATTTTTTAAGTTTCTTTGTATTTTCCAAATTTTCTATAATATGTATTATTTTATAATTAGATGTTATAATTTTAAAATCAGAAATAAGGACATTTATTTATTTATTTATAGAGAGAGGGGAGGGGAAGGAGAAATACACACACACATACATAAAAATTTAGTGTTAAGACAACAGGCCCAAACGGAGCCACTGGAGTGCCGAGTGCCACCTCGCCGAACCCTGGCCTGGCTTCAGCTTCAGCTCCCCCGGGGACGGAGCCCCCATCAGCAGTCCCCGGACCGGCAGGGCCGAGGCCCCGGCTGGGCAGAGCCCTGCACCTCCGGCTCCCATCCACAGTGCCCTCTGCGTTTCCTTGCTCTAGACGCAGGAGAAGTGCCAGGAAAACATCGCGTGCCCGAGTGATTTTAGGAGACTCCCGGAGCCAAAGGAGACTCAGACCATGAACAAAACCTCCCTCTCCTGTGTGCATTCGGCAGCTCTGAGCTCCTGGAAATCGTCCCGCTGCCACCAGGGGTGGCCCAGGCGGCAGGGCGACGCCCAGAGAGTGCAGGGCGAGGGCTGGAAGGCGTCCTCGGACCCAGCCTTCTCCACAGGGCCTCGTGGGCCTAGCACTGGGCACCTCTATCTTCCACGGAAATCACACGAGACCAAGACAGGCCAGGAAGGCTTGGGTTCCTGCCCTACCGTATTTTGCCGTGTACAATGGGTACCCAATGTTTTTGTGCGCATTATACACAGGATTATTATACCATTATGCCCACGTTACGTAGTCATTATACCCATGTGTAATGCACATCCTTATTTTTCCCTCAAAAATTTGGGTTAAAAAAGTGTGTATTATGCACAAAAAACTACGGTAACTTCACCTCTAACTTCAGAAGGTGATCTTGGGCAAGTCACTCAATCTCTGCAAATGTCAATTTTCTCACCAGTAAAATGTGACTCAGTGAGAGAGTGAATTTGAAAACACTTGCAAAATGACAAGGACCAAGCAAATAATTCTCCCATTCCAAAAGGTTATGGACACCATTAAAAGTGGCCACACAGAAAAAGCACACACGAACGACACAACCAAGACACATGGGCAGACGTGCAGGCGTGGCATCACACTGTGGAGGGCCCCAGGGCCACAGAGACAAGCGCTGGGCACCGACTGAGGAAACGCCTGAGGAAACGCAGATGTTCGTGGGAAACACAGCTCCCAGCTGAATTCTGGGAGGTATGGAGATCGCCCAACAATATGCCTGAATGTCCAAGGGAGAGAATGCATCTTGCAAAGCCAGGAGGCCTTTGGAGATCCTGACAAGAGATGCAGAACACAGGAATCAAGTTCCAGACCAAATTAAAGCTTTCCAGAGCCAAGCCAGAGGTCACGAAGAAGGGATTCCTGCAGGAGGCGGAGTCCTGGGTGGTCAGCTCTGAGGGATGCAGTGCGTGTAACTCACAGACCAGCAGCCCCAGGCACAGGAGGGACTTCCTTTGTTGCAGAACTTGGGCTGCTCTTGATTCTAAGAGACTAGGTCACAAACAATGCTAATAAGCAATTTAAATAGCTTCTTACTGAATAGAAAAATGTTATTTTCAACGGGGAAGTAGGGAGGTGACTCGCGGTATAGCTAGCAGTCTCCTGCTGCCTTTGCCACCGCTACAGCCAGCGAGGCCAGCTCATGGGCCAGAAATGCTAAAAAGTGAAAGTACACAGAGTACGAGAGCTTTCTCCCCAGGATTTTCAAGAAAGAAATGAAGCCAACCTCCATAACGGTGCTGGCAGCAATGACATTTCTACAGGGTCCCGTAAGTGTGGCCATGTTGACCCGTTCTCTCATGGAAATAGCCGGAGAACTAGATAACCAAGACTCCGAGAACATCAAAGGCCGCATTGGAAAAGCCCCCACACGGAGCAATGTGTGGGCCTGAGTCCTTCCATTCTGGAAGGGTGAGGCCTGAGCTCATGATGCCAGGATGCGACACCAAAATCTTTAGAGAAGCGAAACAAGATCACTGAGTAGTAGCCTTTCCCTTAGAATGAATACTAATTTTGTGGTTTTGATTTGAAAGGTACAGAGAGGTGTTTTGCATTTTTTTAGTAATATAAAGAAAAGATCATGATCATTTTTTTCTCTAGCCCATGTCTTCTCTTCTTAAAAAAAAAAAAAACCATTTGTCTCTAAACTGGCTTTCCTTCATTGTTTTTCCACCAGAGGAACTACAATACTTATTTTTCAATTGTACTGTTTTCTGTTCTTCAGAATATTGCCTGCTGCATAAACAGCACCGACCCAGTTCTCTGTCCTTCGCAAGGACGCTCATTGAGTGCCTAGCCTTTGCCTGCCCACCGCGCCTCCAGACCCTAAAGTACCTGGCAGCAGTCTGGTCATGTTGCCACGCCCAGGTTAAAGCCTGTTCCTTCTTCAAAACTCTCTCTCCCCGCCCCTCTGGAAGCACCGCAGGCCTTTTGTCCAGGATTGCACGTCTCCGTGCACGTGTGCCCTCGGCACCTCGGGTTCTTTCAGAAAGAATACAAGTGGCAGGGGAGTGAACTTTGGAGTCAGAATGTTCTGGCTTTGAATCCTGCCCTGTCCCTTTCTGCACTAAGGGCTGAATGACCCAAAAGAAGTGACTGACCTTCTCTGGGCTTCAGTTTTCCAACCTGCGCAACAGGAAGCCTCACTCAGCGAGACTGGGCGCCAGCACACTGGGCTTTTCCTCCCCCTTGTTGCGGGCACCATCGGCGCTGCATGTCTGCGTGCCATCTGGACCAGAAATGAGTGTGGCAGCAGAAATGATGGAGTCATGAGCGATGTCTTTGAGAAAGGAGCGCACTGTGCCTTGGATGCCCCCCACATGAAATCAGAAGTGCGGATCCGGATGGTCAGCCAGCACGTGGTTCCGGCGACAGGCTGGCACACACCCATGTCCTCATCTGTCTACCGACTAGGAAAGATACTCGTCTTCTTTCATAGCTATTGCTACCCTCGTGTGTCCCAGGAGCTTTAGAGGATGAGTGCAAATCTATTAATGAGGTGAAAACAGAAAAACTAGAAACATACGTTGGATTGGTTTACATACAACACATGCAAAGTCTATTTATTACAAAACTAGGCTCAGTGCCCTTGAATGCAAACCTTCTCTGTGTTTTTTATAGGGGTTAATAGTTCGTTCATTTTTTTCACGAAGGTGGTCCAGGCATGATCATGGATGTCCCTCCTAGTAACTGCCGCCACCAAGCTCTGGCTGCTGCCTTGCAGGAGTCACCCTGGAATACACGGGTGCAGGTGTCCCTGCTCGGAGGACTGCTCTCCCCCACAGGGGGCCCTCCTGCCCCGCGGCCTGCCGTTTCCTCGGGGGCTACGCGCCCCAGCCACACGGAGTGGGCCATTGCCGGCACTCGGCCTGCTGGCTGCACCGCGTCATCTTTCTCCTAAAGGGTGCGCACAGGGTGTCCGGAAATGCCGGTTAGTAGGCTCCTTCAGACATACTTGGGGATCCCTATGGCTATGCTTGTTTTCTGCCTCACATTGAAAGGACTATAAGCAGTGTGCATGTGTGTTGTCTGTGGGTGACGGGGGAGAAATGGAATGGACACGGGAGGGATCTGATCGCTCAGGGGGTCCCTTGGGGTCGGGGACCAAGAGGGAGAGCGGCATCCTTGGTCTCGCAACACTCCAGCTCTCGTCATATGCCCTCGATGCCCAGCAACAATAAAGGGACAAGAATAAATGCCTTGCACATCCTGACATCGGTATCCTTGGATGCAAAACATTTCCTGAGCATTTACTTGTTGAACACTGTGTTTTTTAAAAAGTTCCATAGACAGAAAGAGATCGAAACAGATACAAGAAACATGTTAAAATTAAAACATCATAAAACAATATCTCAAGACCCAAGAGTATGACATGTGTCCTCATCTTAGTATTTCTCTAGCTGATTATGTAAAAAGTCCTCCGTTGTGTTCAATGCATTAGCTGGGGTACTGTGTAGATAAAGAGGTAAAACCATCCTGAAACAGGAAACCAGTATTCTTCCTGTCTAATCAACAAATCTAAAAATTTATTTTTTTTCAACTATTTACTCTGGCTTTTGTCCACCACAACAGGGTGCACCACATGTTCAGTGTAGAGGAGAGAAAATGTTCATGAGCCACTTCTGTCTCCCCGCCCCCTTAGCGAAAGAGGAGGAAAAACTGTTTCATACAGGAGGCGCGAGGCGTGTGCTTTGGAACCGCCGCAGAAGTGTGGGCTCAAGTAACCGGAGGGATTTCACCTACATCCATTCAGTCAGCAATGGGGGTTTAAAGAAATTCCAAAGAGTCATCAGAAGAGGAAAAATAAAGGTAATGCTTTTTTTGCCACACAGGTAGAATCTTTGAAAATATGTGTAATATGTAAAATATTTTGACACCCCCATGTTATTTTTCCAGAATTAACAGTATAAATTGCTTCTCTTGTTTGCGAGCTCCCTATCAGCCTCTCTAATCACTACTCACTGCGACCTCAGCTCCTGCCACGATGTACAAGACGCACTTCTTGTCCTGCCTTGCACTAACTCTTGCATTCATCGCAGACGGTGCACCTACCTCAGGCTCCAGCAAGGACACCCGGCAGTGTCTGGGGGACGTGATGGAGGACTTGCGGAAGCTGCTGAGAGAGGTCAAAGTAAGTCTATCCCCTTTCCTACTGAAAGGACTCCATTTCACTTTTCTGCCTGGAATGTGCTTTGTAATAACAATCTGTTGTGCTTTCTCAGAACGACAAGACCCCTGAACTCTCCATGGTGTTCACGTTTAAGTTTTACACGCCCAGGGAGGTAAGTACGACTCTCTAAGTTCATTTTTGTGTTTTATTAAGATTCGCAGTAAGATGCTAATGTGCGTGCTGGTTGTATTACTAGCATTTCACCTGAGAAAAAGAATTAGTAACTTCAATTAAAAAAACAAAAAAACAAAAAACAACCCGAGTTTGACAAAGGGGCTTCTGTACAGTGGCTTTCCCTATGTATTTTTTAAGTGTCCTTGCCTGTGTTTGGGGGGAAGGGAGCGGGAAGGAAAGAAGACAAGAATGCTATTCTCACTTTATTGCTGGGGCAGTTTAAAACAAGAGTATGTTGACTGCTTTCTCTGAAAATGTAAAGCTCTAGATAGTCTCTGGCATGCTCTCACCGTATGAATGATCAAAGCCAATGTCAGAAGAGCCCCTTTGGGATAAACCCCTTGTCTTTGGGGAGGAGCTCAAGGGCCTGCCCTGCGGGCAGTGGGGTGCCCCCCTTCCCCTGGCAAGGACCGAGGGCCAGGCTGGGGGGCTGGAATCTCAGCTCTGCCATGCCCTCGCTTTTGTGAACTTGGGCAAGTTACCGACTCCTTCTGTTACTCAGTTTCTCATCTACATCTGTGAATAACTGTATATACTTTATAGTTTTGTGAGCATTAATGAGTCAATGAAAAGGACTAACAACTGCACCTGGCATATGGCGAGCACCATACAAGCACTGGCTGTCAGTAGCAATAAGTGGTGAAGCCGCAATTCTCCCTGGGGAGGAAAAAGTAAAACTTTGGACGTACACATCTGTATGCCAATAGACCTAGACTTTTGCCTTATGACTCATTTCAAAGCTCGGTTCAGCTGTTTGGGGATGCAGGCAGCTAGAGGAGCAGAGCCTGTGCAAGCCCTCACTGCTCAGCAGACTGCTAACAGTTGGGCTAAGCCTGTCCCCAGAGAATGGGCAAAGCCAGCCAGGAAGGGCCATCCCAGGGGACAGCTCAGCCCAGGAAATGAGACCTACTGGATCACAGATGCAATTCCATTGATCTACCTCTTACTTCCTTAAGTTGTGGTTCAAGCTACTCTTTTGAAAGGTGAAAAGGAAAGAACTTAAAGGTCTCCAGCTGAATCAGAGGCATACACCTCTTACCTCTGGCAGCTTGAAAGACCCCAGGCTTTCCTGGGGAGGCTGGCTGCGAGCTGCACATGCCAGGAGCGCGAGCCTCGAGCGAGCAGCACTTGCAGCAGCGAGCAGGGAGGCTGGGAGGTGCAAGTGTACGCGGTGTGGCCTCTCCCTCTGAAGGTTGTTAGAAAGATAGCAGGAGACATGTGCATACTTGAGAGGGTGGCAGATTCTTTGAAATCTAAGTTTCTAAATGACAACTCAAGATCTAGTTGAAACCAAAAAGTAATGTGGTATAAACTCCATTCACTTGTTCATTTTCCCACCATTCCATGATTCTAAAAGGTTTTGGAAAACTACAGAAGCATGTAATTCAAAGGATGCTGGGTAATGCTATAAAGGAAAAACTGAAATTTAATCCTGGCTCTTCCCGCGTCATATGGCCTTGGGGAGAACACGAACTCTGAGATTTACTTTCCTTATTTGTAAAACTGAGATAACACTGCATTGCCTATCTCCACAGGTGTCTGTGAGGCTTAACTGGGCTTATTTAGGAGAAAACACTTTGAAATTAGAATGTGCTATAGAAGTGTGAAATCTTATGATGTGTGTGTGTATCTAACTGAAATGGCCCATCCAAAGTCCTTCAAATATTGCAGTTTTTCATTTGGATGGCATGGTTTTTTAGATGCATCTTAATGTACTCATAGAAGAGGAAACAATGAAGATGCAGTTATGTGTGACTTGCTATTTTGAGAGCCATTTCCACCTACGGTGACCATCACCTAATCTATAAAATGTTGGAACTGTGACCCACGGCTTCCGAGAGCCCCTCCTATGAGTCTCAACTCTTAAGCCATGAAACACCAGACTCGCAGAGTGTGAACCTGCCCTCCCCACTCTGACCTCTCTGGCCCCAACGCCTTCTGGGCCGGGGGAGAGTTTGGCCTCTATCTGTGATCTGCGGTTGGATGCAGAAATGTTGGCTTCTTGCAAAGCCAAATTGAGCTGAATTAATGATTCATTATGTGTTAACTAATTCTAGTTGTGGGCACTTGAATACTAGTTCTTCCAGTTTTACAATGTAAACTCTATTGGTCCATCTTGACAGTAATGCTGAAACAGGGAAGAGGGTGGTAAGGACTATATACTGCTACTCTCAATAAAGTAAATTTGAGATTACTTTCTGATTACCTTTAATCAGGGAAAACTCACCTGATAATGATTTTTGTTATTCAAGGTCACAGACTTGAAACAGCTACTGTGTCTAAAGGAAGAACTCAAAAGTCTGACGGATGTGCTAAACGTAACTCAAAGAAAAAACTCCCACTTGAGAGGGATGGAGGAATCGGTGAACAACATCAATGTCATAGTTGACAAACTAACGGTAAGGCCTTACTTACCTCATTGCTTGCCTGGAAGGCAAACACGAGGAGGGGCGCTGTGAACCAGTGCTGCGTTCTGGTGTTTGCGAAGCACCCGTCCGCAGGGGCCCACTGTGAGCGCAAGTCCTCTGCTGTCCTACGGCACCGTGTGGAGCTGGGGAGTGTCAAGGTGTGAGCTAAGCACCAGAGGGCTCCTCCCACCGTGCCTGCGGGGACAGGACCCACCCTATACTCTCTCTGCTGGTCACACCAGAGCAAGCTGGGAGCAGAAGGCACTGAGCAGAAAGCGGGCAGGTTTCATTATTTATCTTTTAAATTCCTTCAGATCATTTTCCAGAATAGCCAACACTGATTACCTAAAAGGCCTTTTTAATGGGATTTCCTTACCATTGGTACCACGACTAAGAGATTTGTCTAAAAAATGGCAACCCTTAAAATGGCCAATGGACAGGATAATTTATTTAGAGGTAATACTTTCAGAATCTTTAAGTATCTTTAAATGCACAGGAAGCATGAACTATACAAGGGACACAGGTGAGATTCATGGCTTTTCCCATCTCATCTGCCAAGATACAAATTCATGAGTTAAAAACTATGCTAAATAAACAGCATAATTTTAATGATAGGAGGACCAAGGTTCTAAAAATGTTAACTCTAGTTGTTTCAAATAGGAGTCATTTTATTAGACTGTTTCTTTCCATCTACCTTTTAAAAAATAGAGAGCAATGTCATCTGGACATTGATAGACTGTTTCTCATCTACATCAAAGAGATTTACTCTAAAATTTTTGAACATAGGAAAACTCTTTCTAAATTCTTGATGCAAAAGATAAAATTATGTGAAAAATCAGAGATGTTTTGTTTCAAAAGCCAGATATTTTTAAAAATCTAACCCTCTAAGAGGTTACAATATTCAATTATACAGGGTCTGGCAGGAGTAAGGCTTGCTTAAGTATGGTTGGTAGGTAGGATAATATATGTGTAATAATTTATAATTTTCACTTGAGCATTTCACTAAAATGTCATATGGTGTGCTTGAGTGTGATAGTTATGTTACAGAATTAGATGCTTATGATTTTGTAATAAAAAAGAGGCATTATTTGTGTCAGATATGTATGTAAAAGAGAAGATCACACTACAACAGTTTATTTACAGAGAATATTTTCTCTCTCAGTTTGTTTTTCCAGGATAGAAATTACTTCAAATTCGGAAGGCCCCCTTGGGCTTCCTTTGTATCAAGAGTATTTTCTTAGCGTGGCCCATAGAGCTCCTATCAGCAGAGGAGGTTTATTTCCAAAAAATCAGTCCGAAGAACAAAATTTCTAATGTCTAGACTTTCAAAAGTTGGAACTGATTGCTATTGAGGTGGGGCTGGGGTGGATGTGAGTATTTAAGAAACTGTTTCTCATGCGAACTTCCCCCAAACAAAAGTTTGTCCTTACTCTTGGCTGGTTCTATGTGGTTTGGGGGAAAACATGAAGAGATTCACTCAAGGGGAATAATAGGAGACTTGAGGTTTAAACAAGACACATGTAACCCACAGATACAGATTTACACCCAGAGGAAAGGAGGGGTAAGAACTTTATTTTGCATGCAGCATTTAATGAAATACTTGTCTAGATGTTTTTATTGAAAATGTTTAAATTCAAAGGAAAAAATAATCTTGTGTTGAGATTGACAGAACACACATGGAAAAATCTCAGCTTGTGTGTTACTGTCACTTGATGTCACAACATGTAATTCTGGCACATCAATATGATCATTTTAAGAAAATGTGATTAATATGTTTAACCTTCTTGAAAATAAAGGCCATAAGCCTATATAGAATACTTTAACTGAGAATAATTATCGCATAATAATATATCAAAGTTACCCTGAATTTTTAAAAAAAAATTAAAAATTTTGTTTTATAGGAACCCAAAACAGAATTCAACTGCAGTTTTGACGAGGAGATGCTGACCATCATCGAGTTCCTGAACAAATGGATTGCCCTCTGTCAAAGCATCTTTTCAATGCTGCCCTAAGGCCGCCCATTTCAAATGGATCAGGATTTCTATTTATTTAAATATTTAAAATTATATTTATTTTTTGATATATGGTTTGCTTTTGTAATTATTATTCTTAGTATTCAGATGGTGAATAATGGATCTTTTAAGATTCTTTTTGTAAGCCCTAAGGGCTCTAAAAATGTACGTAAATTATTTATCCCAAAGTATTTATTTTATGTTGAATTGTTAAATATAATGTATATGCAGATTGGTTAATAAAATTATTTAATAAAGTCAATGGATGATAAAAGGCCAGACGTGTTATTCTGAGAAGAGCAGAGTGATCACTAAAATACGTCCTAATTGCTCACGTGACCTCGGGGACAGCCAAGATGCTGCAGGAGCTGCTCTGCCCCCGGGGAAGTGTGTGGAGGCAGGAATGGGCTTCTCAAAGCTCTTGCTGTCTCCTGCCACGAGCTGATCAGTTCCTTAGCTCCAGTCGGAGAAAACCTTATCAAATTGTACGATTTTCCTTCTCCCAGTCACGCCTTAAATAGGATACCAAACGCGAGCAGCCTGGAAGCCCTGCTTACACAACTGGGGTGCCTCTCCGTCCACTCCTCATGTCCCACGCCTGTTCTCTGCCCTCGGCCGTCTCCCGGCGCTCTGGGCCAGCTGCTGGGGCGCCCCGTGGGAGAGCTGAGGGGCAGCAGACGTTCCTGACTCACGGGGAGCAGCCTCTGGGTGGCTGCGCCTCTCGGCCAAGGTGGCTCTCTCGAGGCGTTCCCCTCTGGGTGCTGCCAGCCCTTCTTCCCCGCCTCCTCCCACCAGGCTGGCACCCGTCCACTGCTGCCCCTCCAGGGACTGCGCTGCACTCGCAGCGTCCCTGGGCCCAGCTCTGGGAGTCATCTCTCTGCGAGACCCTCCCTGAGTGACTCTCGGCGTGCCATCTGTTTCCTGACCCAGACGCAGTCACTGCCCGAGAAACAGCCTCTGAAACAGGTTCCTGGGACCAGATGGTTCACAGAGTCAAGGGCACAGTGATAGTGGGATATGGGAAACCTCTGGGGTGGCGTAGCATCCTTATTAAATTATCATCCATGGTGGCACAGGATGAAATGCAGGTAGAGGGCAAGGTACTGTGAGAGCCAAGGCCATGACATTTAATTGCTACAGCAACAATAGTGACAAAAATTGTGATTGTCACCTAGATTCTTCTGATGGTCCAGACACAGAACAAAGGGAAGAAATCAAAGCTATAAATGCACAACTGAAAGTGTGCACGAAGCGCTCACTGGCGGCTCTGAAACGGCCCGTTTCTGCTGCGGTCAGGGGCGCACCCAGCAGAGGCCACCGATGCTGCTCTGCGGGGGGCGGCACGCCCTCCTGGCCTCTCGCCATGAGGGCAGTGGCGGATGGACCCTGAGGTGGGGTGTGAGCACAGAGGCCGCAAACACCCGTCTGTCCTGCTGACGGAGGCAGCCCCCTTTCCAAGAAAAAACCATGCCTCTCCTCCAAAGCATCTCGGTGGCTCACAAAGTGAGAGCGATTTCCCGCCCCACACCCGCCCTCCCAGCTTTCATGTCTTCCAGGCCTAACGTGGGAACTGGCAACCCCTCAGCATTGCCGGGCAGTACGGCACACAGTGTCAGACCAACGCGGGTGGAAAACAAGCCATGCCGGGGCTGCTTTAACTGAGGGGAGTGCAACTCCCCGGAATTCAGGCTGCAACGAGAATGTTAATGACATCATGCAAATATCATTAACAGTTGACTGAGTACGTGCCTGGACTCCAAGTGGTCTCCTTCAATGATGCTGAAGCACCAGAGCTTCCCCACGGGGCGTCCAAGGACCAGGGAAAGGGATGCGGACTTCGTATCTGGCCCAGGAAGGCACCGAGAAATGCCTCGGAAAGGGGGCACCAGCGGCTACCTGGGTTCTGCCGTGGTTTTCTTTCTTGGGACCAGAAATGACAGATGTGCTCCTTTGGCACCACTAAAGCCATCAGACATCAAAAGGACTTGATACCTATTATCACATAGGAAATGACAGAATAGTGAGTTGCATTTTAATTTATAGGATGTATTAGGATCAAAAGATTTCTAAAGAGGAAATTCTCAATCTTCCTGTTTAGATAACAATATTTGTTCTCCTTTCTCACATCAAAGAACAATTATCTTTATCTAGGAACCATGAATTTCACCCCATTCTCAAAGAAAATAAACTTGCCTTGGTAAGTCACAGTAATCCTTCATTAACAATGTTATGAAGCTTGACAACATTCATACCTAGTCCCCGTCAGTATTTTCAAAGTATTTTGACATATTTCATATACGCATTATACTCAAATTATTTAGTTTTATCTAAAGCTCTCTTAAAATAATGCTCACTTCATTTTATGTGCAAAATGAAATACAGGTCTGGCACAAATATTGCCCCTTTATTACAAAATCTTTTATTACAAAAACATATGTAATTCTGTAACATGACAGTATCACACTCAAGCACACCCTATGACATTTTAGGTGAAATATTCAAATTAAAACTACACATTATTACACCCATTGATTACCCCGCCCACCGCACTAAGGCAGGCCTTCCTTCCTCTGGACCCTGTGTAATTATCTAGGGGTGCTTCCCAAATAAAACGTTCTAAGTGTCTATACCAGCTACCATGTTCATTTGACTACGTTACCCCATCTAGGCACTGCCTTAAGACATGATGAACACAACCACCTTTTTTACTAACAGGTTTAGAATGCCACTTTCTAGCCACTTTCATACCACGGCACAGGCGAGAAGACTGGATTCCTAGACAGGGTGAAAACAGGCTCTCCAAGCCTAGGGTTGACTGCACAGGCTCCAGCTGTCCCTAGCCCCACAGATCCCCCTCAGCAGTCAAAGGGTCTCAACACTAAACCCCCATTCATGAGCCAATAGTTCAACTACTACACTGTTTGTCCTAAGAACTGAGTTAGACTGAGGGCGAGGGAAGCGCCACAAAATACAGGCCGGGGTTCAGTCTGAGAGTGTGAACTGGGAACATCCTGGACTCAGCCTCCTGTTCCCTCACACCTGCTCCTCCTCCTCAAGGCAGCTGCTCGGCTTCCACCCGGTTCTCTTTCCTTGGGGGGTTCACTCCCCCTTCCGTTCAGTAATGCACTCACACCACCCAAGACTCCCCGGCAGAGCCAGCCCGACAGCAGGGCCGTTTCCCTGGCCTGCTAGCGCCCCATAGCCCCCCAACAAGACATGGCCATAACATTAGGTGGCTCTGCTATAAATATATGCACATAGACAAAATCTTCCTACTCTTATCAGCAAACATTAAAAATCAAACACACACCCCAGCCACAGCCCTGTTTCTCACCATCAAGCTGCCGGCCAGAGGCGACCACGGCCTCCGCGCCCCCTCAGGCCCTCACTGCACACCCACGCCCTGACCACAGGCCAGTTTCGCACCTCGCACCAGCTCTTCCTCCCTGGGAGGGCGGCGCTTCCTGGGGTGCTCGCAGACCTACCCCCCAGAGAGCCTGTAGCAGCTCGCTGAGCACAGCGTCGTGGCCTCTTCCCACCTCGGCTCCCTCAGAGGGTCTGGGGCTGGGGCCTCTCCTGAGCAAGCAGGCTTGGGAACCCCGATTTTCTCCCTGGAGGACTCCTGGGGGTCCGCATCCTCCTGAGAATTTCACTACCCCCACTCCTCGGCTACCTGTCAGACAACCCCATGTGTTCCCTTATTTTTCCAAATTCAGATGTGAAGTGGCCCTTGATGTTCTAGTCCTCATGTTCTCCTTGAGCTGAGACAAACAGCTTTCCCCACCGTCTAATTACTTCTGTGCAAGTGATTCATCATTTTTTATCTTTACTCCTAAACTTTCAAGGTCTCCGTCACTGTATTTTCAGTTGTGGACTACCTCTGCCAGACTCTACACTGCCACCTCCCGAACTGAGAAAATACGCTAGACTCAACCCTCAACTTCTCCACCATGAGTTCTATACTCTAGCCTCAAAGACTGACGTTTCCCCTCAAATCTTTGCTTTATTACGTCCAATGGGTTATGGATTCTCTCTCTGTTGCAGCCTTCTGAGTTTTACCCATCCTTACTCAGATAACAGGACGTGAGAGCTAAAAGAGGGCTTCAACTTAGATGCAATAGTTCAGTGGTTTCTGAACAATTTTGGAAGTTGACGTTTAGAGGCCTGAATTTAGAAGTTTACTTTTTCTGCAAGCAAAACAAGCTGTACAACCCCAATACAAAACAGATAAAAGGTAACAAGCATTTCTGCTTTGACGAAGAGTAGCCTGGAGCCCTTTTTCCTATCAAGCTTCCACCCTTGAGAAATGACAACCATTAGTAATAATTTCATCCTTGTCATAATGAAAAACTGAGCTCAGAGAGATTAACTTGTAACATTCCCGAAGGCCGACGTCAGGTTTCGCCCTATCTCCTGACCCTTCCGTTAGATGACAGCCTGCCACTAACGGCCACCTCCTTCACCCTTCGCATAGCCTCTTGCTATCTCTGTCTAGAAATGATCTTTTCTCTCTCTAAACCAAGACAGTACATACAACTGAGTAGAGAGAGCACACAGAGACACTCAGTGGCTATTGGTGGATGTTGAATAAACAAAGGGTGCTTAGTAGATTCTGTCTGTAAAACAGTTGGGCCTCTTTGCTTTATCTCACTCTCATTAGAGCTGTACCTTTTTGAGGACATGAAAGGTCTGGCGCTGGCTCTCACACAGCGTCTCACCCCAGCCTTGACTAGGCAGGCAGATGCTCAGAGGCGAGTCTGCACCACTCGGTCCTCTGCCTTTAAGTGCCAGTCCAAAGCAGAACACGTACAAACGTGAAGGGCCAAGAGAAGGTGAACAATCTTGTATTGACATTTTCAAAGGCAAATTTACTATAAAAATAATAAAGGCTGGACATTAGCTATGGGAGGAAACAATTCAGAAGAGAGACTAAAAATATCTAATAAGAAAATACCAGTTTGGAGAAACAAGCAATAAATTTCATCTAATTGATGGAAATA